TGGGCAGGGGAATCCCTCTGGGTGAGAGAAACATATGGAAGGCTGGGCAAAGAGTTTCCTTGTTGTCAGGAAATACTGAGCCCAGAATAGGAGAGAATTCTTTTCTTATGGTATTTCCAAAGGTAACCTAGGAAGATTGGTTTAATATCCTGAGACCAGTGCGGGTGGTGAAGGAAACTCTGAGAAGAGGGATTAGCTCATTTTGTTGGTACCAATTTATTATTGGATCACTTTATGGATTGAAAATCCTGTTACAGCCTCTGAGAGGAAAGGAAAAGGAAAAAGGAGGGAAAGAAGAGATGATGTGGGGAAATGGGATAGGCTGGGGACTCATTTTTTGTTTCCTATTTCGCTGCCTTTTTTTTTTCTCTCAGGCTGGAATATCCTTGGTAATAATTGCTGATAAATGAGCTCTGTGATTTGAAACACAGGTAGAAGTCTTAGCATAGGACAAAGGGTCAGCAGGCTTTCAGAAGTAGGGTGCCAAATTGCACCCTCATTTTTCTGACTTGATGTGGGAATTGAAGAGGAGGTGGCCCAGAGTAGTCGAGGACTCCTCTACAAAATCTATAAAATTATGAACTTCTCCTTCCCCCTGCCCCATCCTATACACAAACCTCCCCACAAATACTTTTACCAGTTAGAAATTAATTTGGGTTAGCGGGACCCACATTAAAAATGTATGTATTCAATTCTTAGCATAGTACTCAACACATAGTAGGTTAATAAATGTTTATTGACTAAGAGGGTTAAATTTATCTTTAGTTAAAAATTAATTTAATAAGATTGCTCTTTTGGGGCAGCTACATGGCATAGTGAATGGAACGCTTGGCCTACAATGAAGAAGACCAGAGTTAAAATCTCAGATACTTACTGGTAGTGTGACTCTGGGAAAGTCACTTAACCTCTGCCTGCCTCAGTTTCCTCATATGCAAAATGAAGATAATAATAATATCTATGTTCCAGAGTTGTTGTGAGGATCAAATGAAATCATATGTAAAACATATGATCTGCTTTAAAATGCTAGTCATCATTATTGTTATCACTTGGTAGAAATCCCCCACATTGGGGAAATAAGTGTTTTTGACTGGAGAGAGGAAAGAAAGAAGGCGATTTTTTTAGCAGGGGATGTTGGAAGGGGTGAAAAGAGGTGAGGGACAGGTTTGGGTAAGATTCTCCCGAGGTTAGTGACTGGAGGGAGGTGGGTGAAAAGAAGAAGAAGAAGAAGAAGAGTATATAAAGGGAAATTTTTGTTGTTCAGTCATTTTCTGTCATGTCTGACGCTTTGTGACCCCATCTGGGGTTAGAAAGGGAAATGGGGTAGCACTAAAGTCACTCTGTCTGCTTTGCAAGTTTGTCTAGGGTCTTAGAGACAGATATGACAATTGTAACTCAGCCATGAAAAAATCATATCCATCAGTGCTCAAAGGACTTGGGTTCAAATTCCTTCTCTGCTATCACCTCCTATGTTACCTTGGGCAAATTAACTCCTCTGAACCCACATTTCCAAATTAATAAAAATGAGAGCAAAGCATGGATTTGATGATCTTTAAGGTCCTTTTCAGATCTGAATGCATCACCCTGTGACCCTCTATTATGTATGTAGATTGCTTGCTTCTGGCATAGGGAATAAATGTTTTCAGTTTTATCTGTAAAAGTTTTTTTTAAAATTAATTGTGTAAATCTCTTTTTCTGTAAAAGGTAAAGACAATCTACTCATTAACATGACCTTTTAAAGCTTTCTCATAACCCTCATAACAGATGAGGAAACTGAGGCACAGTGAAGTGGGTTTGGTTATTTTTTGTTGTTGTTGTTGCTTTGTTTTGTTTTGTTTTTAGGCTCAGGGTGACATAGCCAGGAAATCAGGATTTGAACTCAGTTCCCCTAATTTTTAAAACCAAAGAGTGCTTTTCCTGCTACAGCCAATGCCTCTTTCAAAGCCACGTTTTTGTTGTTCAGTCATGTCCGACTCTTCATGACCCCATTTGAGGTTTTCTTGCCAAAGGTACTGGAGTGATTTGCCATTTCCTTCTCTAATTCATTTTACAGATGAGGAAACTGAGGCAAACAAGCTTAAGTAGGGTCATGCCACTAGTTAAGTGTCTGAGGTCACATTTGAACTCAGATCTTCTGACTCCAGGACCAGAGCTCTATCTGCTGTATCACCTAGCTGCTGTGCTTAAAATATCAGAAAATTTGGTATTCCTTAATAAAGGGAATATGCCCTTCAGGACTTGATATTTTCCATTTTATACTTGCTCAGGGTATTTTTATTGTTTCCTTTAATGAACAAAGGAAAAAAAATATTAGAGATATCAGGAGAGAGGACTACATATATGATATGGCAATTAGACTGACCAAAACACTAATCAGAGATTTTTTTAATCCCTTTCCTCAACTTTTAACATGCAAATGGCATGCTGTGCCTTGAAGCATTTAGAAAGGCGAAACGTGCATGTGAATTCACTTCCCATTCAATCATCTTTCACAGTCGAGGGGGCTGACCTCTTCTTTTAGGGATACCAATCTAGTAAAAGAGTTGTGCTAAGCTATTTACAGTATCCCATCTGTTTACCAATTAGGGCAAAAGCTGATGGAGAATTCAATGAGAACAAAAATCACTCTAACATTTACCATTTTTTTCTTGTTCTAAGGATCTCAGACTTGTAAGGGACATCAGAGGTTCTATAACCTAACCTATACAAGAATAACATCCCTGAGTAATGGTTATCCAACCTTTAAGCCTAGGAAGCCTAGGAATAGAGTACTGGACTTTGGAGTCAGGAAGACCTGAGTTCAAATCTTACTTCAATAACTTACTAGCTTTGTGACCCTGGGCAAATCACTTAACCTCTCTCAGCCTCAGTTTCCCCATATGTAAGATGGGGAAATGCTATTGCCTGAATGACCAAATGAGAAAATACATCAAGTGTTTTATAGACCTTCAAGAGCTATCTATATAAATGTGAGATTGAAGAGGTCAAGTGAAGGGAGCCCACCATCTCTCAAAGCAACTCATTCCAATTTGGGATAGTTCTAGTTATTAGGAATATGCTCTTAATATTCAAAATATTGTTTTTTAAATTACACTTCTACTTATATGCTTAGCTTAGAATGAAACTTTCATAAAGTTGGGAAAACAATGAAAGCCTGGTATGAAAGGGTGCCTTGTAAATGTACTCTCTTGTTTCTTCCTATTAGTAACTTGTTAAAACACTTGGCTCTTGTGAGAACTATTAATTTGACCAATCAGCAGGTATTAGCCAGATACCTTTTCTTTTCTTCTGAAGAATAAATAAACCAAGAGACAAGCCAAGTTCAGGCCAGTGATTAGAACCCTTCTTTTATTCTTAGCAATCTTGGGCAAGGGATGTGTGTCCTAATTTCTCCCATGTTGAAAAGAGATTATGAAGAAACTGATTGCTATGTAATGATAATGACCAAGAAGCTTGGCAAGGGAGAAGAACCGAGAAAATGGACCTCCCTACTCACTTAGCAGAGGTGGGGGTTATGGGTTTGAAATCATTCATAGACTGTCAGGCTGGATTGAAGCATTAGTTGTTTTGTTGAACTGCTTTTATTTCTCTTTCCTTTTAAGAAGTGTTTACAAGGGTTGGCTCATTGTGTAGAGGAGTCTAAGAGGGAGGCATATTTGAAAATGAAGGGTGCGTAAAAGTACAAGATATAAATACAAATTTTAATACAGAATTATATTTAAATGTAAACATATTTCTGTATATTATATAAAGTATAATTGTAATATTTATATATGAGAAAGAAAAGATATTTTCAATACCTAATGATAGCTTTAAGTTTCCTTTTCAGTCCTCAAATGTAAAATATCATTTGGGGTTAGGAAGCAAATTTTTCTTCTAGAATTGTGCTACTGTACCACCTTTGGAATGAATAATCTGTATTCAATTTGGCAAAGTCTGGTAATGGCCATATAAGGAGAAATAACATTGAGATCTATGACATATTTTTCAAAATATATCAAGTATTCAGGGGTTGAAATATGTGGATTTTATATGTGATATGATTATGCAAAATGATAGCATTAATTCATCGCTTCTTGTTGTCATTTTCATTTTGTATTCCTTAGCTCTTAATATCCAGTAGCACAGTCACAAGGGGCCCTAGAGAGTTGGAGTTTGTGGGAAAGGAAGGGGCTTGTCAGCAAATAGTATAGGCTCTATGATAAAGTCGTGTTGTGATCCCGAGAATACTATGTTACCAAACCAAAGGGAACTCTGTAAAAACAGAGACACTTGTGACTGGTGGTAGCTGGTAGCTGGTGGTGCAAAAGGGGGGTGAGGCATTGTGGAAGAGTATTTTTTGTATTCCATTGCATACTTTGTATACCGTTTACCTTGAATTTACTTGAATGTGTATATGTTATTTCTGCTAATAGAATGTAAACTTTTTGATGCTAGATAGCATTTTATTTGAGTATCCAGAATGTAAACGTTTCTACCATGAAGAAATCTGATTGTGTCTTACACCATTAGCCTGTAGCCTGTAAGAAGTGCCAATCAACAAGCGTGTCAGTTAACAACGTACTTATTAAACACAGGCACTATGTTTAGCACCCAGAATGCAAAGAAAGTGAAAAAGTCCCTGACCTTGTGAAGTGTATATTCTGATGTGGGGAATATACCAGATACATACAGAATGGATGAATGTAGTCTGAAAGGGAAGGCATCAGAACCTTGGGGGATTAAGATAGGCTCTCTCAGTTCAGAGGAACTAAAATAAAAAGGTAAGCAGGACAGAGCCCTCTAGGTATGGGGGAAAAGTAGTGCAAAGTCATGGAGATAGGAGATGTGGCAGTGAAGGAATTGCAAATGGGATACTGAAAATTGCAAATTAGTTGGATCTTAGAGTTCACGGAAGGGAGTAGGTTTAAGTAGATGGAAATATAGAAAGAAATCAGGCATGAAGGCTTTAAATGCCAAACAGAAGAGTTTATATTTGATCCTGAAAGTAGGAGGTCCTTGGCTGGGTGGGTATGGGATGGGTGGAGAAGTGACATGGTCAGGCTTGCACTTTAGGAAGATCTCTTTGGCGACTTTTGAGCAAAGACTTGAGGGAAGGAGATCAACCAGAAGGCTATTTCAGTAGTTCAGGCATGAGATGATGAAGGCCTTCCCCAAAAGTGCCGGTAGTGTCCAAGAAGAGACTGTTAAGAAGGGAAATCATTTAAGAAACTCCTAAAATAATTCATTCGAAGATAAGAAGGGCTGAACTAAGGTGGTAGCTATGTGGATGGAGGTCTCAATTTCTGAGCCTATGAATACAAGGACTACTCAGTTGGCCCTGAAGGTAAATTCATTTCTTTTAGGATTATTTGAGGGTAATGTGAAGAGTCAGATCAAACTGTTCATAAACTCTTCCCACCCGACTAATCCTCATTTCCTTTATGAAGAATGACCAAAGCTGCTATATTTCTAATTTGGATCGAATGAACCTGTGTCTTTTTGTTGAAAGATTCTTCCAGGACTTAAAAACCTTTCTCCCCACCTCTATTAAAATAGACCTGTTGTTATTCAGTTGTTTCATATGTCTGACTTTTCATGACTCCATTTGGGGTTTTTCTTGGCAAAGATACTGGAGTAGTTTGCCATTTCCTTCTCCAGCTCATTTTACGGATGAGGAAACTGAGGCAAATAGGCAGCTCTCCTCCCCATAAACCTCCCTCCAATTTCTTTGCTTCAACACAGGTCAAATTTCTTCATCTTCTTTCTCTAACCTTAGTTTCTCTTCTGCTCTCCACTCCCTCTGTGGCAAAACTCCCAGATCTTTAATTATGTTTTATATATGTTTGATGTTATTTGAGTTAATATTTAATCATTTTTCATAGTCTCAATTCCCCCCTTATCTGGCTTTCAGGAACTCATCCCTATGCCACTGGTTATGAAGTTTATGCCAAATATGATCGTGGGATTTAGATCTGAAAGGGGCCACAGTGGTTCATCTAGTTCAGCTCCTACCATTTACAGATGAAGAAACTGAGGCTCGATGTACCTCTGCAGATGCCATATCGTTATTCATTGGCAGAGCCAGAATTCTCTGACCCAGGATCCAGGGTTCTCAGAAGTATGTTGGATTGCTCTTTTTCCTTAATTGATGTATCTCCGTTGTTTGCTTCATAACTCTGCTCTGCTCAATCCTTCTCACAATAGCGACCAAGCCCTGGAATAACATCATGAGAATCTGTTGTAAATGCCATTTTGGTCTATTGTTGGTGACTTCAGTTAGTAATATTTCAATCTCAATAATGATAACGCTTCCCATCATCAGCCATATTGCCTACTGCGGGGGATAATTTTTTTTTTAATTGAACTAACTGCTAAAGAGCAGTTATGTATGTTTGTCTACCATTACCAGCTTTGGTGTTGTACTCTTCACTATATTGACAATACGTCTTTCAAATATTCACTTTAATGTCCACATCTTTTCTGTCTGGCAGCAAATAATTATAGCAAAATTTGTAACACCACTATCATGCTGATACACAGTGAGGAAGGGTAAGGGGACGGCCACAACACACAGCTGCTGTGGTGAAGAGAGCATTTATGAAGCAGTCCACAATCATTAATTATTCCCCAGGTCTATTTAAAGAGTTTCAATGTGTTCTTTTGATGTTATTGATCCAGATGGTGGGAGATTCTGGCTATGTTTGTGAACCTGGAGAGGTTACTGAGTGAGTTAAGTAGAAGGTGGTGCCAGAGAGAGAAGTGAATGTGAATTCAGTGACGGTGTCAGAAAGGAAGAGTGGAAGTGGGGAAGGGTTCTCCATTCAAGTATTGATCTCCAGAGCCTGTTCTGTACTGAGTGAACATGGAGAAAGTTCTAGGGGTCATGCTGAGGCAGACGATGTCATCTGAATAGCTGATTAAAGAAGTGCGGGGGCCCTGGATTCTCAAAGGATCCCATGAGGCAGTATTAGCATCAGAGAAACTAGGGTAATCAAGTTCTAGGAGATGAACATACCTGATAATTCTTATCCCCAAGTAGTCTTCATCCAGGGAAAGAGAGTATCCAGAAGGAAGCCGAAGGATCCAGAGTCCAAATGTGAATTAATTAATTAATGGTAAGAGGTGAAATTCTTGAAAGTGTGGGAATCTGTATATCCCTTTCGGAACTGAATTCCATCAATTAAATGAGCATTTATTAAGTGCTAGCCATTATGCTAAGTGAAAGAAATACAAAGATAAAATGGAAACAATCCCTGCCTTTGAGTAATTTACATTCTGCTTGGGGAGGAGGGATAAGGAAAGAAGATGGACAACACATACACAGATAAGTAGATATACACTATATGCAAAATAAATACAAAGTTATTTTAGGGATTGAGAAGAGCTCTAAAAACTCGGGGTGTGGGGGGAATTGGGAAGAGCCTTAAACAGAATTTTAAGGGCAACTAGTGATTCCAAAAAGCAGAGGTAAAGAATGTCCCTTAGAATCTGAATTCTTTGAGGGTAGGGACCACATTTTTCCTTGCTTTATATCCACATCACTTAACACAGTGACTGGCTCACAGTTAACTTATTAAAAGCTAATTTTAATTTATTAAAGATTCTTGTTATTATCGACTGAGAGCAGTTTTGGGAGACATCTTGTATAAAGACACAGGGGCAGAATATAGAATGTCTTATACATGGATGTGCAAGTAGATCAATTTGGCTGGAACTTAGAGCCTATGTATGTTGCAGGGAGGTGGCAGGTAGGCAGGGTGGAGGAGGATAATATGGAATCAACCTAACCCTAGAAGAGAGTTGAAGCCAGATTGTGGAGCTTCTTAAATGCCAAAGAGAGATTTATATTTTATCACACAAGCAATAGAGAGCCTTTGAATTTTCTTGAGCAGAGGAGTGGCATGGTCAGCCCTGTGCTTTAAGGATATCAATTTGACACCTGTTAGAGGATGGATTATCAGGGAGAAAGAATAGAGAGAGTGAATTAGAAAGCCGCTTCAATGGCCAGTCAAGAGATGATGAGGGTCTAAATTCAAATGGTGTTTGTATGAATGGAGAAAAGAACTTTATGGTAAACATTTTCAGAGGTAGAAACGAGAATTGGCAACTGATTGGATGTGTGGAGATGAGTGAATAACACTGAGGCATCTAGGTGTTTGAGTGGATAGAGCAACGGGTCTAAAGTCAGGAAGACCTAGGTTCAAAAGCAGCCTCACGTATTTACTAGTTGTGTAAACCTAAGTGAGTCGCTTCATCTGTCTAGCTCAGTTTCTTTAATTGTAAAGTGAGGATAATAATAGCACCTACCTCCCAGGGTTGTTGTGAAGATCAAATGAGATAATATTCGTAAAGCATTTAGCACAAAGACTGGTGCACAGTAGGCACTATATAAATGCTAGCTATTATCTTCTGCTTCTCTTCCTCCTCCTCCTTCTCCTCCTCCTTCTTCTCTTCCTCCTTCTCCTTCTTCTCTTTCTTCTTCTCTTTCTTCTGCTCCTCTGCCTTCTCACTGAATTATGCATTTACTCTTTTCTGTTCCAGTATAAAGCAAGGGCAGCTTTACAGCCTTTGTGGTGCATGGTGCTAATAATCTGCTTTCAAGTCTTGTTATTGAAAAGCATTAATAATAATAACTAGCATTTATCTAGTGTTTTAAGGTTTGCAAAGAACTTTACAAATATGATCTCATTTTATCCTCACAACAACCCTGGGAGGTAGGTGCTAGTATTATCCCCATTTTATGTATAAGGAAACTGAGGCGAATAGAGGTTGAGTGCTTTGCCCAGGGTCTCACAGCTGTTAAGTTTCTGAAGTTGGATTTGTATTCAGGTTTTCTTGACTTAAGATCTAGTTCTCTACTCACTGTACCACCTATCTGTTTCCTAAATCATAAACTGCCCCAAAGTCATAAGCTGGCACTGCTTAAGTCTGTTGACATGTCAGATGCAGGTTCACAGCATGACATAGTTTATAAGTATTCAAGTACGGTGAAAATCCACCAGCTTCTCAGCTGTTTGTATTGGTCTATTGCATTGCATGGGTTGTTAAATAAGTAAAATTATATTTCATTAATTTTCTTCTAAGACAAGTGATTGTCTACAAATTGGTTTTATTATCTTCACTTAAAATGTTTCAGTGGGGTTGATGTATGGCTTTCCAATTAGGAATTATATGGGAGAAATTATTTGAGTGGGGAAACCAGTGTGAGAATTTATATTGACATTGGAATATTTTAGACTACCAAATTGATGCCTGTCTTAGCAAATCAATTCATATGGTCCAGACCTTCATGTTCAGATTGAAATTGCTCACTTCATTATGTAAATTAATTAATTTCTCACGTTGGAGATTATAGAGATTGTCTTTGGGGATCAGTTAACCTTGCTATTTACTTTGCCTGTGATGAATGAAATTTGCCAGACAAACCAATATTAAGTGTTAGCCTTTTAACCTTTTTTTCTCTTCCCCCCTGCCACCTCATAGAGTGGAGGGGAGAATGGCACGCTAGTGCTAACCAAAAAATGTCTCTGAGTTCTAGACCCTGAGTCTAGAAAGCAGTCTTGCAAAAAGGAAAAAAAAAAAACAAACTTCCCCCCCAAATAACAACCCAGCTGTTACATACAGTACTGTGGTACTCAGAACAAGAGAGCCGAGCCCAGGTGAGGTCCTTGTGAATCTGTTCCAGGGCTCTGATGTATTTTTTTTTTCCACAGGGCCTCTAAAGCAAAGAGCCAGAGTGTTACATTTAGCATTTTCATCTCTAGTCAGGGGAGAGCTGGGGAAAATAGGAGGGCCCAGGGGCAGAATATAGAATGTCGTGGATATGCAAGTAGATCAATTCAGCTGGAACTGTGTTCTGGCTATGTGTGTTGTGGGGAGATGGCGGTGGGGGGGGTTGTCGGTTAATATGGAATCAACCTAGCCCTAGAAGAGAATTGGAACCTCCCCTCCCCGACCCCACCAGCTCAGTAGCACTGACCACATTGGCTACTGTTCTGACGGAAGTCGTCCTTCGTTGTTCCACCTCTTACCGCTCCCTTTCTCTCGCCTCTCTATCTCTTCTCCCTCCCCCACCCTCTTGATTCTGTGATGGTTTTTTGATTCAAGAGCTTATTCTCAGTTTGCTGCTGAGCTGAGTGAATGACTCAGCCCATGCACTTGGTATAGGTTTCATTAGGTGATATTAATGTCAGGATGAGCCTTGGACCACTCTGCTCCCCTTCCCTCAATTCCATAGATCACATAGAAAATATCAGTTACGATGCACAGTGATGCTCTCAGCCTTTGCCCCATTGACTACTCTGTGAATTATCAGCAGGTTTGCAGAGGTGTGTTCCTGAGCCTCTGTGTACCTCTGATAAAATGACAGATGATGGCAGCATAGGGGCAACGTTCCACCTTCTCTGGGCAAAGCCTTGCTTTGGCATAAATCCTGGGGTATATGAAAGTCAGCTCAATAAATTCAATCTCTTTACATCTCCTTCCAAAGGGATATCGTAAGATGAAGCTACTTTTTAGCAATAGAAAGACATTCCTATGGGGGAGGTAGTGGGAGTAGGAAATTGAATTACTGACAAATTTCCAAACTAAACAGAGGGACAATGATAATGACTAATATATTAGAGTTCTTTAAGGTTTGCAAAGAATTTTGCAAATATCTCATTTGATCCTCCAGACAACCCTGAGAGGCAGATGCTATCATTATCCCCATTTTTACGGAGAAGGAAATTGAGGCTGAGAGAGGTTAAACAATTTGCCCAGAATCCCGAAGCTAGTAAGTTTCTCAGGTAGGATTTGAACTCAGCTATTCCTGACTCTAAGTCAGCACTCTATCCACTAAACATTTGTAATTTCATTACTGAACAGCTTGAAAGAGATGTTTTTCTTTTTTCTTTTTTTTCTTTTTATTTTTTTAGGCAATTGGGGTTAAGTGACTTGCCCAGGGTCACATAGCTACTAAGTGTGAAGTGTTTGGTCTGAGGTCAGATTTGAACTCAGTTCCTCCTGACTTCAGGGCCAGTACTCTATCCACTGTGCCACCTAGCTGCCCCAAAAGAGATGTTTTTCAAGATTACTCTTCTCTTAAACTACATCATTGGTTTAAATTATGGGCATAAAATTCTACAATTATAGTATCCTAGTTTTGTAATCTTAAAAGCAAAGTCTTATAGAGAGGAATGGGGATAAAGGAGGTGAGAAGGAAGCAGGGATAAGAAAAGAAAGAAATTAATTGATATCGGAAGAGGAAGAATGGGCTAAAATGACTCATTTGATTCTAGGTCTGAGGTTTAATATATATTTTGGAATTTTCTGAAAGGCATTCCCTTCTAATGGCAGCTGGTGGCTTACTAGGAATGAATCAGGTTGCTTCCATTCAATCTTAAAACTACTTTGAGGGTAGATACCCCCATAGTAGATAACCACATTACATAAGCCACCAATCAAGATGGCACTACTTGGCCTCCTTGAAGGTGATCTCAGCAGAAAGGCCATCAATTGAATTGACCCAGTGGTTGTCCTGTGGTCTCATTAATTTCATGGTGGGCTCTAGGCCAACTTTTGGGGGAATTATGTTTTCTGTGGCTACCCAGATGGCTTAAGGAATGGACTTAAGGAAAGAACTCTTCTTTAACTATGATTCAAGGGGTGGAGCAGTACAGGAGTCAGGATCATTTCCTCTTCCTGAAGTCAACAGCGATCCACTGAGGCTTCTTTTCCTGTGACTCCTAGCTGCTCTTACATCAGAGTTTAGGGGCCAGATGACTTTGGCCCGATGAGTGCATGATGGGTAACTTAATGATATCAAATCACATAGCCCCTTTCTTCTGAATCTCCACCTGGATGTCCCACCTTCTTCTCAAGCAGAATTATCTCAAGCCTTTGCTGCCTTTTTTCTCTTAAACTTTTCTCCTGGACTTGACTATTTTTTCCTATGATACTTTTATTTGTATTTATAACGTAGGGGATATCTTTAATGATCTCATGTCTTTTTGCCTCACATATCTGACTCTTCTGCCATGGCTAATGCTGTTCCTGTGCTTTCAGTAGCACACCCCCCCCCTGTCCTTCACCTGTTGGATTCCTGCACATACTTTAAAGTCCATTTGAAATGCTATCTCTTCAAAGTTTTCTCTGATTCCTCCTCCCCATTCAGTAATAGTATTCTCTCATACATTAATTAATACATGAATGTGTTTGTTAACAGATTACTCGAGTTACTTTATGCATGGTAGTTACCTGTATTATGTCTAATATCTTTGCTAGACTGTGAGCTCCATAAATGCATGGGCTATGTCTTTTTTTATATCTCCCCTGGAACCAAAGTGCTCTACACATAGCAGTAAATTAATCAATATTTGTTGAATAAATGGATACAAAATTAATTTAATTATTAACTAGGAAAGACATGATTTCCATCTAATCTGGCTTCAGAAAAAATATAAAAATCATACCTGATCAAACAATGATAAAGAAGTCCAATGAAAAGCTATGGTAGGTGACTTCAATCATAGAATCATATTCAAATTCAATCATAAGGTTCCAGTAAATAAGAAAGACAGCTGCCAGCAAAGCTAGAACCTTCAGAGGCAAGCCAGGCTAGCCTCCCAATGTAAGAGGAGTAGAGATGGGGAAAAGACATATGTAGCTATCAAAGCTCTGTCTGGAGACAACAGGGGGGGGTAGGACTTACTGACAGAGCCCAAGGATGTTTGGAAACCCACCGAGGGGACCTTGGAAGCAACCAGGAGATGGGACAACACTTGGACTGAGGCAGCTGAGGTCATTGATCTTCAAAATCTCTGCTTCTCAGATGCCATAGAGGTCCCTGAAGATCTAGAATTCTGAGCCTCAAAGTTCCAAGAGAACTAACCTCAGGGTGTGGAGAATGACCCAGAAACCTGGGTGATGTGGACTGAAATGAAGCCCGACTGACTACCACATATGAAAGAGCCAGAAAGACAACATATGTATTCTAAACCCCTAATTTTACAGAATATAATACGAGGCCCAAAGAACTTGAGTGAAAATGCCCAGGGTCATTTAGGCGGCAAGCAGGAGGGCTGATACACAAGCCCAGGTCCATTAACTCCAAATTTAATTTTTGCTTTTCACGATACCATGCAGCCAACTGCCATCTCCTACCACAGCAGTCCCAATTTTTGGTTCTGGGCCTATGAGGGATGAAAGTACATCCGTAGGAGTGATGATGATATATGTCTGAAAGAAACAAGTCCTGTGAAGAACTGCAGGCTAGAGTCAAGGGAAATTACAGGTGGTGGTTTGCCTAGAGGACAAAAGAGCCAAAGCATTTTATATATTCACTAATCTGTGGTAAGCAAACTCTGGGTACCTTTGAATACACTAATCATATGTAGGCCAGATCAAGATAAACACAGGGGTTGGTGGAATTGCTTTGGTGTCAGAGGCTGTACTTAGGTATTAGTGAGTCATTCCAGCTGTTTCTGACGACATGCCCCCTTTCCTCCCTCTGACATTAAGAGGCCCAGTCTAGCCATCGTGCATTAACAAGGTTCTGCACACAACTGATGTAATAATTCCTGTTATATACTTTTGACAAAAATTAAATCTATGTCATCAAGATCATAATCCTAAAATATGAAGTCTCAGTTTTTAAGACTGAACTTTTAGGGGTCCTATGGCTATTTAATTGACAACTCTAATGGCCTTTTCTTGAATCTCCTTCTCCTTGCCCTGCCTGTAGCATTTGACCCTCTCCTCCTAGATACTCTTTCCTCTTTGGGATACCATGACACTACTCTCTTCTGGCTCTCTTCCTGTCTGGGTGCTCCTTCTCAGGCTGTTTCTTTTTGTTAGTCCTTCATCCTTGTCATGCCCTCTAGCAATGGATGTATCCTAAGTCTCTGTATTAGACCTTCTTTTCTTTTTTGCTTTTGTATGTACCTAATTATTCACATGTTTTTCCCTCATTAGAACATAAGCATGTTGAGGTCAGGGAGTTATATTTATATTTACTTTCTTTTTATCCCTAGCACTTAACAGTGCCTGACATGTAGTAAGTACTTATCAAATGATGCTTGGTCTGATAGACAGATGCTTAGATAGAAATTATGTGTGTGTGTGTGTGTGTGTGTGTGTATGTGTGTGTATATATATATACATATATATGTATATATGTGTGTGTATGTATATATATATGTGTATATATATGTATATGTATATATATATGTATATATATATGTGTGTGTGTGTGTGTTTATACAATACATATGTGTATACATACACACACATATAGGTTGGTGCTATTCTTAGCTTCATTTTACAAAGGACAAAACAGAGGCTGAGCAAGGTGACTTGCCCAAGGTTACACCGCTAGTAGGTATCTGAGGTGGATTTCAAACTCAGGTCTTTCTGACTCCAATATATCACCCCAGTGCCTAGACAACTCTATAGATCAATCAATCAGCCAGTCAAAGGCATAAACTAGGTTTGAACAATGTAGTTAATAAAGTTGGGAAGGAACAAAGTACTTCAAACCATAGGATGAAATCAGATGACAAAAAGTTTTAAGATTACCTAAAAGAATTAGATGCATCACTGAGTATAATCAGAGAAGGTGATTCCTTCAACAGCTAAGCTCTGGGGAGTGCTTTAAGGAGCCCAGCCCTTGTAAGTCCTTACCAGAGGGCAGCAAGGTGGGAGAGGGAAGAATGGACCCAACAAATATGTCCCTCTCCAGCTTTCCCACAATTGATTTTGTCTTCAGAGAAGTCGGACCAGTAACAAACATCACATCTAGTTGGGATCTGAGTGAAGACAAAATAGACATTCTGAGGAAAGGCAGCTTTAGAGAACCAGGCATATTCAGGGCAAAAAAAAATTCAATTTCAGGACTTGACCAGGACCAGGAACCTCAGGACCCGGCAGAGAGCTATACTGTAGAAGGACTCCAAGAAGGGAGAAAAGGATGCTCTGTCAAGTGGGAACTGTAAGTTCCTTTTGCTACATATATTCTCTGAGTTTGAACCCACTTTCGCCTGGATTGAGTATGTGTTTGTGTTTATTTGTTTGTTTGTTTTGGGGGTTTTTTTGGCATTTAAGTAAATATCCCTATTTAAAAGCTAATTAACTCTGGCTGGTTAATTGATATCAGCTAGATAATCACTGAGGGGTAAACTGATGGGGATTTGTGATCAACAATGTGATCATATTGATCAACATACGATCAATCATACCCTTTCACCTCCTCAGGGTAACCTCTTGATTCCCAAGGTGAAAGATAGTCAGTCACTTTCAGGAGACCCAATCTTCCAGGGTGAGAGCTTGTTAAAAAAGACTCAGTATTATACAAAGATTAAAAAAAAATAAAACATTCCCTGCCTTTAAAGAATTTATATCCTATTGGGGGAAATATAACAGTGATGTGTGAATATGAAGGGAAAGGAAGTGGACTTGTGATATAATTTTTATAGGGAATTAACTCCCAGTGAGGAACTTACTCTGTCAGTGAAAATCAGCACCTTCCCTGCATTTTACCTTCTTGGAAAGCTGCCTTAGAAAGTGACTTGCCCTTATCAAACTGCCTACCATTTTCAGAAGAGAGGGAGGTAGGGAGGGGGGAAAATTTGGAACTCAAAATCTTGTAAAAACAAATGCTAAAAAAATTTCTTGACATGTAACTGGGGGAAAAAATAAAATACTATAAAAAAAGGAAAAAAAAAAAGAAGAAAATGACTTGCCAGGGTAGCTAGGTGGTGCAGTAGATAGTGCACCAGCCCTAGAGTTAGGAAGATCTGAGTTCAAATTTGGCCTCAGACACTTGCTAGCTGTGTGACCCTGGTCAAGTCACTTAAGCCTGATTGCTTCCCCCTCAAAAGAAATATTTTAAAAACCTAAAAAGAAAAAAAAGAAAGTGACTTGCCCAGGATCAAGCAATAGAAGAATTTAGGGTTTCAGGAAGGAGATAAGAAAAGACCAGGTCTCGTGATGAAGGTGAAATCTAATCTGTTTCTAGAGAACAGTGAGATATTCCAAAGGAAGGGAGGGGGATGGCTACATTCTCCAGTAGAATGAATCTATGAGGACAGGAACTTTTCATCTTTTAGCCTCCAGACCCTAGCTTTTTTTTTTGTCTCGATTTTAGTCCCAATTAGCATAAAAAGGTCCCTATGAAGGAACTCCTTTTAGGACTGCATATTGCCAATTGTTCTGCAATTTATTGCTATAGAAAATTATTTGCTCAGAGTGACAGAGCCAGTATGTGTTAGAGGCAGGATGTGAACAGAGACAGTCCTGACACTGAGGCCTGTTCTTTATCCATAACCCCAGGCTGAGTCTCTGCCTCATTCATAGTAAGTCTTTTGTCAGTGTTTGTTGAATTAAATTTATAATACACGTAACACCCATTTGGATATGGCAAGAAAGATTTCTTCTTGCCTATTTAAGTATATTCTTGCCATACTCAAAATGTCAAACCCAAAACATCATCAGGTTTTCCCAGAGCCCAATCCTAACTTTCCTTAAGTCATCACATTGCTGGGTAACAAATGGCATGATTATGCTATTCTTCAGTAACAGAAACAAATTAATTTCTAATTGAAAGGCAAAGGAAAAGACCAATAATTCACTGTGATCAGGGAAGCCTTATAACCTACTAGAAAGATATATTTGAATTCTTTTAAATGGTATATTAAAGTTTTATCTTTTGCATTTAAATCAGGATTTATTTTGTGTTAATAAGCAGATTTTGTCAGTGACAGAATGTGCAATAGTTTCTCATAAAGAAGAGTTTGCTATTTTTTATTTTTGTTGTGTTGGCATCTACCATGAGCTCATAAATTCCAACATGAGAAAAAAGTGATGTTATGAATTACTCCATGAAAGTAATGTTGACAGAGTTAATACTTTGTACCAGTGTGTATTGCAAAGCTCAGAAATTATAGGGATTAAAGGGGCACACTAGTAAAAAGTACAAAAATATTTACAGCAGCCATTTTTGTAGTGGCAAAAACTAGAAACTAAGGGGATGTCCATCAGCTGGAGAATAATGGATGAACAATTTAAATGATTTATGGTATGTGATTGTAATGGAATACTATTGGTTTGTAAGAAATGACAAAAGGAAAAAATGGAAAGACTTGTAAGATGAGGTAAAAACAAACTGAAGAACCATTTATGCAATCACAATACCATTATAGAAATAAGCACCTTTGAAAGATTAATGCAATGAGCAAACATGATTTGAAAATTAAGAATGCTTCTCACCTTCTTACTCAGTATCCAGAATGAGACAGACATTTTTGTACATGGCCAATGTGGGAATTTGCTTTGCTTAATTATACATATTTGTTACAAGGGTTTTGTTTTCCTTTTTCCTTCTTTTAAATAAGATGAGAGGAGGATTAGAAGAAAATATTTTCATTTTCATTATAATTAAAAAATTAAATTAAAAAGCATACATAACTATGAAGTTAGATGTGGAGGACAGGAATGTGTAGTATAAAGTGTGTAGAAGAGTTTAGTGTAAATTTAGTTTTATTTTACCTGAATTAATCTCTCGTTGTTTAGTCATTTTCAGTCGTGTCCAACTCTTGGTGACCCCTTTTGGGGGTTTTCTTGGCAAAGATACTGGAGTGGGTTTCCATTTCCTTCTCCATCTTATTTTAAAGATGAGGAAATAGAGACTAACAGGTTAAGTGACTTGCCCAGGCTCACATAGCTAGTAAGTGTCTGAGGCCAGATTGGAACTCAGATCTTCCTGACTCCATGCTCAGCACTCTATCCACTGTCCCACCTCACTATCTAGAAGTCCCTAACCAGTAGATTAGAATA